TTCAGGACAGTACTAAATAAAAAATAACATGCAATTTTCATGATCCCTCTTATTTGGGATCTACTTACACTGAAAGTTACCTCCGTTTTGGAACTGAAAGCTGAGTGTATCCGCTTGCTTACCCTTAAACATACCCGGGTAGGTCACATAGGGTTGGGAATCGAAAATCAATTCCAATTCCAGAATCGGATACTTAAGGTCAGGAATCGGATACTTGTTGTCAAATTAAAATTTCGATTCCGTCTATCGATTCCTATGCGCTTTTTCTTCTTCATTTGTGAGGAGCTAGCGATCTGCCAGGACCTTGCTCGCTAATCTAAGCGCTCCAAAGTTTGGCTACATTTGCGATCAGAAGCCAAAAAAGCCATGTATAATATCAGTGATAGCTAAACATGTTGCAAGAGAGGTGTCACCACCAACATGACAAAGCACTTTAATTTAATAGATCGTTAAAGATCGCGAACACGATTCAAACACCAACGTGATTCTATTCCTAAATTACAATGATTCGTCCGATTCATTCCTCAAGCTTTGACGTGTCGATCAATGTTGTGATCATGTGGTTCATCCGTGCAGAGTACGATCACATCACTGTGATTTAAACATTTAAATCTGCGTTCACACTGCGCTGACCTAAAGACAGCAGCTGTCTGTCATGAATGAAACAGCTTCAGTCTTTTCAGCCACACAGTACCATTATTTCTGTTACAAACATTCAAATCACAGAAGTACTGGGATAAAAGTTTATAGTTCAGATATAAACTGTGTGTACGATGTGTAAGGTAGCGATTAAAATAGAGTAAATCACCTTTTGAAAGTCATGTGACACTTCAAATGAAGATTTATGATTACATTGTTACGCCAGTAGGTGGCGAAAAGGGGCTGTTAAAATGTATCTGTCTTTGAATCATACAAGAGATTCGTTCAAGAACACCGATTCATCCAGTAATGAATCAAGTACATCTTGAGTGAGTCATTGAATCATTCATTCATGAATTACATGTGATTTTGTTTAGTAGTCTAATGTTTTTTCTTCAGAATCATGAGAGAACCACAACTTCCATTGGGGGAAAAAACCTCAATTTATCCAGAATCATGCAGTTCTATTTTGCACACAAACAGCTCTGAAAGAGTTTTTATGTAGCCTGTTGATTTCTGTTCATGGTATTCAGCTCCAATAAATGGTTTGCAAAAAAGAGACACAGGATAAATGTTTGATATCGTTATTTAATCACATTGGAATCGAAACTGGGAATCGAAAAGAATCGGAATTGATCAAATTCAAACGATACCCAACCCTATGTAGACGTAGCGTAAGCCCCGGTGAGAATATGTTTGTCTCGCGAGAACCGACGTTTGTTTACAGGAGCAAAGGAAGCAAAGTTTCTTTACTTTAGCAAAGGAAACCCAGTCTCCTCTCGGCTTATATCAAAATCCTCCCACATCTTTCTTTACAAATCTTCATTTTGTACTTCTAATTCGTCACCGGTGTTTTGTTTTGCTCTTACAGACGAGCTTACGCTACGGAATGAATGCGCATACAACAGTTAGCGGAAGCTAGAGATTACGGTTTATAAAGTTTTAAATATGGATATATTTCTTACACAAACGCATTGATTTGCTACAGGAGGCCTTTATTCACCTCTGGAGCCATGTGAGGCACTTTTAATGATGGATGGATGCACTTTATTGGACTTCTTTTGGACTATTGAAAAATAACACCCGTTCACTCCCATTATAAAGCTTGGAAGAGCCAGGACATTTTTTTAAAATAACTCCGATTGATTCGTCTGAAAGAAGAAAGTCATATACAGCTAGGATGGCTTGAGGGTGAGTTAATCATGGGCTAATTTAGATTTTTGTGTGAACTATCCCTTTAAAGCCTGTGTCACGACAAAACAATGCAAACAGCACAGTGAGATAAAAGCTCATATTCTATTAGTTGCATGGAAAAAAAGAAAAAAAAAGAAAAGTTATATTGCATATTTTGACACTTATGTATTAAAGAATCCAAAAGTTAAGGCAAGACAACCTAGAGGACACTGCAGGTTAAATTTTAACGCTACAGTAACATTATTTTTAGCTGTTGAAAACCACAGGATTTACATACGAGATCTGTGAAACAACAGCCTCGTTATGTACAGCATGCAAATAACCTATATGATAATGCACAGACCAGACTCTACGTAAATACACAGCAAATTATTCATGCAGGTGGAACATCGGAGCATCAGCAGGATCTGAGATGAAGTTCCTATTCTGCATTACTGAGGAAAAACAGCAAACAACAAATGGGTGCCGTCAGAATGAGAGTCCAAACAGCTGATAAAAACATCACAATAACCTACTGACCCAGACTGAGAGACCATTTAAAGGCTCAGGAAACCTTTGCAGGTGTTTTGAGGTAATTAGCTGATTAGGGTGTGACACCATGACTTTCCAATATTGAACTTATTTACGATATTCACATTTTCTGAGACACTGAATTTTGGGTTTTCATTATCTGTAAGCCACTAATCATCAAAATTTCAAGAAATAAAGGCTTGAAATATTTCACTCTGTGTGTAATGAATCTATATAATATATGGGTTTCACTTTCTGAAATGAGTGACAAAACATATTGACCTTTTTCATGATATTCTAATTTTTTTTTAGATGTACCTGTAATCCACAGCACTCCAGTCCATCAGTTAACATCATAGAGTCCATAATCCATAATAATTCTTCCTCCAGTGAAAAAGTGTTCTGGTGTGAATCAGGAGAGAAATCTGCACAGATCAAGCAGCGTTTAAACAGCTCTAAACACATATGTGGCTGGATTTTGATGTGAGAGACGACAGCAGATGCACTTTTTCACTGGAGGAAGCATTATTATGGACTCATATACCATGTTCTGTCTGAATACTCGATTCTGATTGGCTGGCAGGTATGCATTAAATCTATTTAATGCACAGGTAGTTCTAAATCAGTTTAATCACCGTTCTGTATTAATGCTCTGCCTTAATTGATGCACACAAACAAACCCAGAGAGAGAGAGAGAGAGAGATCGCGCTGCACACACACAGAAGCATTCAGGAGCACAGAGACTTGTTGTCAACGCTGCCCCGCGACTTTTATTAATAAAACAGCCTAGATATTGGATCGCTGCATTATATTCCTCAGCAACGAGGAGGTGAAATCGCTGTTTTTGAAGTAACTAAACTCACAGCTTCATTGTTTGTAGAGAGAGACGCACAGACGCAGGTAACTCACCCACACATCTCTCTCTCAATCGATAATTAATTTTAATAAATGTGATCTTACCGCACTATTTCATCTGTGTGTCTGATCTGTAGCAGGCAGAATGCTAGAGAAACCGAGCCATAACTGATGATAATAACCGTTATTTTTACCCTCCCGGTCAAATATTGCACTGCAAACATCATAAACAGATTTAACTTTTCAATGCTGGCGAATGAGCATGGTATAAGCGGGATAATGCACGGCTAGTAGGGATGCACCGAAATGAAAATACTGGGCCGAAGGCCGAATACGTTTTTTCGAGTTTTTTTCCCCATGTATTTTGCCAATTTTTTTCACCACTGCACAAATTAAACAGCCAAAATGTGCTTTTTACTGTTTTGTCTTCCTTTTCAAAGAAAAAATCTATTACAAAACAACAATTTACAAATATTTAACACTGAACATTTTTTAACATTCTAGCAGACATTATTATACCAACAAAGCACAATTTAACTTAAAATTAATAAGTTAGTAAAATAATATTTTTTTGGCGCTCAGACCCCCTTCTTGAATCAGGCATGTATTTTTACTGTAAAATGAAATGCAGCCTTGTTGAGCAGAAGAGACTTCTTTTAAAACATTAGAAAATATTACAGATCACAATTTGAACACTATGTGTGAATGTTATAATAAATGTATTAA